TTTTTTTTTTTTTTTTTAACCCCAGATCGGTCCATATGAAGATAACTTTGTTGTTGTGTTTTATTCCTTCCTCTCTGCCCACATTTGCCATGGCTGTAAAAGCACACTCATAAAACAGAGCCGTTAACGCATAGTTAGCCCCTGACTGCTCTGGCACCCATCCTTGTCAAATCACAGTCAGGTACCATTCATGCAGCACTCACTTGCTTCCTGCTGCCTGTATTCTGACGGTTTAAGACTTTGTGCTGTGTGATTTAGTCTTGAGCAAATGGGATTTAAGCTGTTGGCCTTGTATAGTGAGTACGCCATACATACTATAACAGTATAGGGTATTTGTCTTTGTAGGTTTTGACAGGAGTCCTCATCCTAGCTGATGTGAGGGATTCATTCCAACACTAGTTTGACTTCATGGCTTTCAGTGGTAATGTCAGGATTAGAGTAATAGGTTGTTTCACCAGCTTGTCGAGGAAAAGGTAACATTTACTTGAAAGTACTTCAAAATCCTGTGAGAAAAGACTCTCTAGAAAGCAGAGACCCTTCTAATATCTCTCTGAGTAGTTTAACATCATTTTATTATATCATTAAGAATTATATACATTACCATTCAAAAGTTTGGAGTCAGTAATTCTTTTTTTATAATGAAAATAAATAATTGTATGTGGCAAGGATGCATTAAATTGATCAAAAGTGAAAGTAAAGACATTTGCAATGTTACAAAAGATTTATTTTTCAAGTAAATGTTCTTTTGTACTTTCTATTCATAAAAGAATCCTAAAAAAATGAATTACATTAAAATATATTAAAATAGAAAACATTTTTTTAGATTGTAATAAGAATTTACATCACCACTTTTACTGTATTTTTGATCAAATAAATGCAGCCTTGGTTAGAGACGTATTTCAAAATTATTTTAAAAATCTTACCGATCCAAAACGCAGAGAGCTATTTCTCTAAATATAGAGGCATAAGGAAGAGATTGTTTCAGATCCTCTCTCCCTAAGGCTTTTTGGCCTAAGGAGGCTCTTAACCCAGCATTCATTTTGTCCTGTACCCTTTTCTCTCTTATGGAGAGTGAAACTTTACTCTTGGATCTGATGGGTTTTTTTTTGTGAATGTCATCCTTCACAAGGGCTGACCAGGCTGAAGCAGACAGCCCAGAGACTCTGACGAGATGCTTTTGGCTTAGTATCAGAGCCCCAGCAGGCCCAGAACATCCTGTCAGGGGCAGTTGTGGGGTCCATTCATTCGGACCAAGAGTCTCTCACAGGAACCCAAAGCTCTGGTTTCATCCATCAATACCAGGCCTGTAGGTCCTCTGCTGTGGCGTTCTGTTTCTGAAAATCACATTGAAGAACAATAGGATATTAAAAGAATTCTGGAGAGGATGGTTTTCACAGGAGTCTGTACAGCTCCAGTTCTCTGATTCCAGAACACACTCATTCCCTCTCCTGTGACTCAGAGATCTGTTATTGTTGTAATAAAAGACAGAAGTAGATGTGAGGTGCTGTGGATTTAAGAATTAATGTAGCTTTTTTTATCATGGTAGATATTGACCTTCACTAAACCACAAATCCCAATACAAAACAATACAATACAATAAAATAATGGTACTGACCAACACTTAGCAACTCTTTCCATTTGCCATTTTCAAATGTCTTTTGTAATATAAATCTGTGGAGGATTTGTGAGGTTGGATAGATTTAAATGCAACTTTACAGCAATTATCCATAGATAAAATGTTTCCAGGGCAGCAGTAATGGTGACACAAGACACCCTAAGCAGTATCAAATTGTTAATCTACAACATGAATTTCTCAAGATATATTTAAACTCCGTCACCCTCAGCAGGGTAAATGGTTTCAGGTCATTGTCGTGTGGTTTTCTAACTAAAGAGATCCTGTTTAACACTGTTCATCCCTGTAAAGCAGCTTGGACACAATCTGTATTGTATAAAGTGCTATATAAACGAAGGTGACTTGACTTGACTTAGAGTTAACAATATTTGTTTGCCAACAATATTTGCAAACAAAGATCAGTTGGCAAGCAACAAGAAAAATGTTGCACAAGTCTGTCAGTCTTGTTGGTTATACATCCCATCAGTTGCACACAGTTGCAAATATGCAAAGATAATAACATGTGATTGCTGAACTATCACTTGCACACTATCACATCTATTACCTAAAATTTCTCATGCAACCAAGCGAGTTGTGATTGGTGGTTTTATATATCCGTCATATGCCCCTGCATAACTTAATGGATGGTGCTTGTCCAATTTAAGATGCTGTATTCACCAAATTTAAGGGTGATAGGCAAAGTCTCTGCTTCCATGACTAACATTCTTGGTCTAATGAAAATGAAATGGCAAACTCTCATTTTGAGAGAATCTGTGCAGTAAATGCACACAGGTTGGCCACATTCAGTAAGAAATGACTTACTGAATGTCTTCTGTTTATGTCTCCCCCACAGTCATGGACTCACAACATCCCAAAAGAAAAGGAGTTTCTCCACAAGTTGGTGAAGGCCAGCATTATCACAGACTTAACCAATGGGATTTGAACCTCCCAAGGTGGGTGCCTTTCTAGGAGGGCTCAAAAACGCAGAGTCCTGGGAAACCCTGGACCAGTCAACACTGAGGAGCGTGATTTCAGAGGTGGGAGCGGTGGCTCAGTTAAGATGCACATGTGCCTTCTAACCGACAGGCTTCCTCTGAGCGGGACGTTGAAGGTTTCTTGAATGTCTCGGGAGACAATCCTTGTTCGAGTACAGATGGAAGATATCAGAGACTTTGAGGTGACCAACACAAACAGCGCTTGAGGAACGAGTCTCAACATTAACTGATTGTGCCAAATGTACCTCTATCGGAGGAGATGCCCCTCCTCTCCTGCCTGAATGTATTAACGGTGTAAATATCAAAGATTTTTACAGTGCATTTTAATGAACTGCTACAGCCCCTGGGGTTCTGCCTTCACACGTGATTCTCCGTCCAGGGCAATCAGTACATATCCTGCCCTAGTGTGAGGAAGGGCAGTGGCAGGTCTTTGATTCAGCCCTTTTTCTGAGCACAGGAGGCTCTTTATCTCCTGAATGTGAGCTTATTATGTTACGGCTTCTTTTGTCGAAGAAAGGAGTTCAATCTCAAAGTTATTTATTTTGGTCCACAGATTAAGGCCTTTGTTTTTTGAAAGCTCCCTTTCCAAAATGTATTATAAATACCACAATTTGTTTTAGGTGGTAAACTGAGTACCTATTAGAAGTGCACCAATACCACTTTTTTCCAATCTAATTCTGATACCTGAATTGTTGTAACTTGCTAAATACACATGACGTCATTATAAAATGGGCAAAAGACAAATACATATTCTGTGGTACTGTTCATAAATTTGGAATCATTTAATTTTTTTGAAAGAATTAATCTTATAATTAATCCTATTCAGCAAGGATGCATTAATTTGATCAAAAGTGACAGTAAAGACTTTTACATTGTTACAATAATTCTATTCAAATTTCAAGTAAATACAAGAAAAAACATCCAGTGCATAAATCTAACACAAAGTAGCAAGAACCACAACATTTTTTTAATCAACTTATACATCAAGGATGTATTAAATTGATCAAAAGTGACAGTAAAGAATTTTACATTGTTAAATTGGTAATTCTGTTTCAAATAAATGCTGTTTAATATTTCATAATTCATCATTTTACTGTATTTTTAATGAAATAAGTGCATAAGAGGCAACTGTCAAAAAAAAAAATTGGGACATCTCTGACAAGGTTTTTACTGTTCATATCACCATTTTTGTGATCTTAAATTTGATAAATTAAATACCTATCCTTTGTTGTAGTTTGGTAGTAACAGCCATGGGTAATGCACAGTTTCTGATTTAGATGGTTCCTGTGTCATCCATATCTGATCTGACAAAAAATGTTTGTATCGATGCCGATATGATCCAAGAATGGTGCATCTCTATTAACTATTCAGACAGACCTCAAAATCAGCTGATGATATGGTGATGATACTGCCATCCTGAATTCTGTCTCTTTGCTTTCAAAAGGCAGCAGTTTGAGACCAATACACCAAGAAGGACTTTAAGTTATGAGTTTTTGTACTATTTTTTTTTTTTTGGCAGTGCAGGCCATTTAAGGAGCACTTGTTCCAGTGTGTTATAGTTTTTGAGCTGTGAGCTATCAGAGAAAAGCTGCAACATGGGCAGAGTCCTGGAAACATACCATTGTCCATTGCATTAACCATCAGTGCTCATCATATTAAACTACCCAGCATAGTTGTTCACTACACCTGGTACTCTGCTCACTCATCAGGATCCCACAGCAGGGAGCAGTCATCATCCTGATGGACTGAAACACAGTTCTTTGCCCTTGTAGAAAGGTGCATTTATACTGTGCATTATACTACAAATCAGCATAATTATAATGATTTTTTTGGCGTTAGGACAAAATTACTATTGTTTCATGTATGTGTATATATATATATATATATCAGAGACTTTGAGGTGACAAACACAAACAGCGCTTGAGGAACGAGTCTCAACATTAACTGATTGTGCCAAATGTACCTCTATTGGAGGAGGTTGTAGCAAGAACTACAACATTCAGAAACCACAATAAACCTCAGCAAAATACTGTCCTTTTAAACAAAAACACAGACGTTTTATATACAGATTATGCATAAAATTGGGACATTTCAGACAAGGTTTTTACTGTTCATCTCACCATCTTGAATTTAAAGGGGGCATAACACACACAGTTTCACCCAATCTCATGTTAATCTTGAGTACCTATAGAGTAGTACTGCATCCTTCATATCTCCAAAAAGTATTTAGTTTTATCATATTTATTAGGGATGCACCGATACCGATACTGGTATCGGTATCGGGCCCGATACTGAGCTCCTGTTACGTCATGAAGAGCCACGATCGAAAAAAACTCTCCGAAACTTGTACGAACCCAGAAGTAAGATTTTTGGCACAGAAATACTCTTCATACGTCCAAATTGTTTTTTTGTCCATGCTTCGCATGAGAATCCAACCCTTTAACAGTGTAAACAACTCTGAATGCATGAAACAGCATTGTACCCCCCAACCCCCTTAATTACTTAAATGTAGTTTGGTAGTAACAACCATGGGTAATGCACAGTTTCTGATTTAGATGGTTCCTGTGTAGGGGTGTAACGATTCACTTGTTTTCTCGATGCATCGATTACAAACCCTG